GGGTGGCTCTGTCCCCAGGGACTATTGGCAACGTCTGGGAACACTCATTCTCATGCTTGGGCTGCTCCTGGCCTCTAGCCGGTGGTGATGTCAGCCCCCCGTGGTCCAGAGGGATCACACTCCTGGCGTCCACAGTTCTGAGGCTGAGCCAACCTGCTGAACAGAACACCTGTTCTTTTTAAATATATTTTTTAGATGTAGATGGACACAATACCTTTATTTTCATTATTTTATTTTTTTAATGTAGTGCCAGGGATCAAACCCAGTGTCACGTGCAGCCTCACCAGAGCCGCAAGGCTGTACGTAGAGCTGTGACGTGCCTCCTTCAGTGCCCCGTGGAGCCGTGACGTGCCCCTCAGCGTCCCGTGGAGCTGTGACGTGCCCCTCAGCGTCCCGTGGAGCCGTGACGAGTTCGGGTCGTGTTTCGTCTCCTGCAGACACGGCTGTGAACCCTTTGGCATGTTGAGGGTGGAAGGTCCCAATGAGTGGACCAGGGCCCAGGGGTGGGTCTTAACTGTGGAATCTGAGTGTTTAGAGGAAGCCACCAACTGTCTTCTCCAGACTGCCTTTGACCAAACATGTCCCCTTCTCCCACTGCTGTCCGCAGAAGCTGTCCTGGGGCTGGGGGCGCTCACATGAAACTGACACAGACTGCTGGGGACCCGGTAGAAGGCGGCGGCCCTGGACTCAGAGCCATACTGCAGGTCAGAGGGGAGGGGGGGCCCGGATCCTGGGAGGTCCCGTCCTCCTGGCGCCACACGTAGGCCTGTGTGGGCCCTGAGTGAGGAAGACGGGGAGGCAGTGGCCCTTGCTCCTTTCTGCCCAGGGCACCCTGCGGCACAGCCTGGCCCACCAGCACCTTCCTTGCCTCTGCCCCCCGCCCAGGGCCCAGCAGCCCCCTCCACCAGGGCTCGGCTGCAGTCTGCCTGCGGCCAGCGGGCCTTCGCCTCCTTGGCCTCGAGGCTGTGCCTGCCCCTGATGCTGCAAAACTCACCTGGAGCTCACGTCCCTTTCCTCTCTCCTGGCCCATTTCAGTGTAGGACCAGTTTTGATGCTGGCCTGTCCTCTGTACACAGGGCAGTTAGGCCCTGTTCCCCTGCCCTGGGCATCTGGTTTTATGTCCGCAGTTGAGCCTTTATGTGGGAGGGGGTTGGGGCATGGGCACCGAGACACGCAGGCCCCTGGAGACCCGGTGCCCCTGAGCTACCCCCACGCGATGTCTTGGCCTCTCCTTCCCCAGGCAGACTCTAGGAGAGGACCTGCGTCCGTGGGTGGTCTCAGGAACACCTGGCTGGTGGGGTGAGAGGCAGGGGCTTAGTGGAGGGAGGGGGCACCGTGCGGGCCACTGAGCTCCATCTCTGCCTGGGGTCCAGAGCACCCTCAGATCCCACGGCTGCCAAGGGGCTGTGGTTGACCTCACTTCCTGATGGCCAAAGGCTGCCGGGGACACCGCTCCTTCTGCTTCCTTTGTGCCCTATGTGTCCCTAGAGGGAACCCTGGGGGTGGGCGGGGTGCCAGGAGGGCCTGCAGGGTGAGTGTGCGGTGTTGGGTGCTGGTGGGGCTTTCCGTGTAGCCCTCAGAGGCTCACCTTGGTGGGATGTGGGTGAGGCCCCCAGCCTGCCTTCTCTCCTGTGGGTGGCGGGGGCCCCTTGAGACGCTCTTGGACACAGGTGGTGCCTTTCAGGTGGACTGCCGCAGCGGCTCCAGGCCCTCTCCTTGACTCCCCCTGCAGCCGACCCTGCGGCCCTGCTGTGATGCACACCTGGCTCCCAGCAGATGACACCACGTCCAGCCTCTGGCCCAGGGGTGTGCTGGTGGAGCAGCTGTGACTGTCCTGCTGGCCAGGGCCTTCTAGTTTTCTTTTCAGACTTGACAGTGGACTCCAGAGCTGCGAATGGTGCTCAAGGCACCCGCAGTGTCCAGCCCCATGGGACTTTGTTTCCAATCTAAACCTGCAGTGGGGGCGTGGGGGATGGGAGGGGAGTGGGAATCGATAGCAAACGCTGTAACTCCTCAGCTAATCTTCCAGAGGGACAGAAGGAACTGCCAAGAGCAAACCAGAAGAGAATCACACAGCGATATATTTCCAGGAAAAGTTATTAAAATATTGACATTTCATCTGCACAGGCTTATCCCTCAGACGTCCTCCAGACGGCCCCCAGACAGTGCTAATTTAATTATGTTCCACCTGCGCCTGCTCGACATCATCGGATCCTTCCAGAAAGGGCGGCACTTATGTACTTTCAGTTTTGGAGGCTTTCCTAGAACTTACCTCAATTTCCAGTGGGCTTTAAGGGATTCTCATTCCTAAAACAGATGAGGGTGAACTTCTCAGGTGATGATGCCGCCCGCAGTGGCAGCCACGCAGGTACCTCCTCTGTGGATGGACTCTGCTGGAAAATGAAAACAGCCTGGAACCAGACGTGAGCCCACCGCCACTCTGGACGCACTGTGAAGAGCTGTGTGGAGCTCCCTGTTCAAACACTGTCTTTGACGTGATAATGGGAGCAGCTGTCTTCCTGGGAGGGCCTGGTGAGAAACCCAAGCCTCCGACATAGAGCCCAGTCGAGCAGTTTGCAGAATCAGGTGAAGGAGAAGCTGGAGAAGGAGCTGGAGTGAGCGTCTGCTGACCTGGAAGATGGCGCTCAGCACATGTGCCCTGTGTGCCCTGTGTGCCCGTGTGTGCATGTGTGTGCAGGAGTACGTGAGAGGACGCACCTGGTGGCTAAACAGAGCCTTCCTCTTCAAGGCACTCACGTGAGCTGCACATCTGGGAGGAGGCGGAGCTGTTCTTTCAGGTTTCTGTTGAGTGCAGCGTTGCCCACTGTCCTGGCTGGACGATTCTCTGGGGAGGGGCCACCCTGTGCTCACCACGAGGAGCAGCAGTACCTCTCCCCAGCAGTGGTGAGAGGAAAACTTTCCTCCAGATGGCGGGTGCACTCCAGGGGCAGGAGCCCGCAGGCGGGGACCGCTGACTCGGAGCACACACCCCGAGTCTGGTCACTCCCTTCGCAACTCATAGTCCACCTGGAGAACTGCCTCGCACCTGGGCTATTTCCAGACTGGCTGCCGTGTGGCCTTCAGGCACACAGAAGCCCCCACCTGGGCAGCACAGGGCAGGCCCCATGGTGCTTCTCCTGGGCGTCACCAGGTGGAGGTCTCCGAGAGGTGGAGCCCGTGTGCCCCAGCTGCACCTGTCCCAAGACCCTTGCTGTGTTTTCTTGTGTCCCTCTGGCCATGTGGGTTTCCATTTCCAGCATGTGGGCTAAGCACTGAAGGGACAGGGCCACCCAGCCGGCTACCACTTCACTAGAAGGCGCAAAGAGGAGCCTCGGTCCCAGCCCAGGGGGCCCGCTGCCAGGCTGCACGAGGGCCACTCCAGGAGCAAGCCCATCCCCATGGCTGACCCAGGGTCCTTCCCATGTCTCCAGAGGGTGGTGGGTGGCTGTGCTGACTGTTGGATCATGATCCCAGCTGGACAGCATGCCTGCCCAGTGTCCCTGGTGCTCACCACCCCTCCTCTCGTTCCGGGCTCGCTCCCTGGCACCCAGCGGGCAGTGCGCCCTTCAGGGCCCTGCGCCGTGGCAGGTAGGGTCCACCGCTCTCCTGAGGAGCTCACGGACGGAGGAAAAGCAGACACTGTCACGGGTCATTCCCCCCACTCTCCCCTTCCTTAGGTTGCATGAAGCAGAATTGCCAAGCACAGGCAGCACCTGGATCCCCTCAGGAGGCCTGGTGAGCACTGCCCGATTCTGGGGAGCAGGGGGCACAACTTCCTCTGGCGGACATCTCGGGCTTCAGGCAGCTGGAAGCTTGGGAGGGACCCTGCGCAGTGGTGCCTCAGGTCAGACTGTGGGCCGGGAGCTGGGGCCCCTCAGGATCCCTGGGCTCGTGCATGGGGGTCGACAGCGCTGCCTGGCCTTGTGTGTTGACCCCAAGCCCCTCCTGATTCCACGGTCTCCAGCTCCTGGGCTGGGCCTCTCCTGCAGCCTCAGGACACAGCCCTCCACACCAGCCCTGTACAGTCCAGGCACAGCCCACGGGTACCTCTGCTGATGGACACGTCTGCCCATGGCCGCAGTGCCTCTCCCTGTCCTGCCTCCATGCTCCTGTGGGCCCTGGGGCCAGCTTCTCTGCCACCACCTGCCCCAGCCTCCACGTCACCCTGAAGGCCCACCGCTCTTCCCTCTGCCAGGAGCTCTGCAGGTGAAAGGACTGGCCCCGGGTGCACAGGCCCGGCAGCCTTGGCCCTGCAAGTCCTTTGGGCCATGCTGTCCCCGTCTGCTCCCAACCTGCTGCTCTGATGTTCCCTGCCCTCCAGAAACAAATGTCTCCTCTCCGCCTGCCTCGTCAGCTGTGTGTCCTCAGCCCCACTCTGTCATCAAGCCACGGCAGTTTCCTTCCCCAAAGCCCCAAAGACCGTCTGGACCCTCAGAGCCGCGGGCTCCACCTTTCCCAGGGTGCAGCCTCCTGGTCTGCCCTCGGTGAGTTTCTGGAGGGAGGGGGTCCTGGTCACGTCTGCATCCTGTGTCCAGCAGAGCTGAGGTGCAGCTAGTTTGTCCCCCCCAATGTCCACCGAGGAAGGACAGAGAAAAGAGCTCCGCGTGGCCGCACACCAACAGAGAGACCTGCTGCGGCACTGGGAGCCTGGCCTGGTGAGGGAGCAGAACTACCCAGCGCTGGTCGGTGCCACCTGACAGGGGAGCCAGGGGATGTGACAAAACGGAGTCCTGCAGGTGCTGGGGCCACTACCACAGCACGGCTCCAGGGCTCTAAGTACCGAGTGTCCCCAGACCCCAGCTTTAGGCTACCAGGCCACCAAGACTCACTGGCCTCTGTCCCCTCCACCGCCAGGGTGTGTCCCTCGAGATGCCATGGGCGTGATGTTAGCATTTTCAGGTGACAACGATCATGTCACTTTGAGTGGAATGGCAATTTGGGCTTTAGAGTCAGAGGTCATTTCATTTCGGCCGGGCGGGCATCGATCCCAGCTGATTGAGTGAGAGGGCGGCAGCCCGAGGCCTGGTCAGATCTGGTGGGTTTTGGAGAGGAGCCCAGGACATTATCGTCAACTCCAGGAGATGCACCTCATAAAAATCCAGCGAGTCTCTCCACTGCTCCAAGTCGAAGTCAGTTCCCCGTGACACTCAGCAGCCACTGCGGCCCTACAGCCGCGGTTTCCTTGATACAGGAGAACCTTTCCCTGTCTCTGGGCATCAAGACGAGCCACCCCAGGTTCTGGACCACGCCCCAGCGTCTCTCTGGGCCCTGTGCTCTGCTGGGGAGAGCCAGCGCCGCTCCTGGGCGCTCCTGGGAGGGGGCAGACCGGCTGGGTGCTGCCCTCCAGCCTCCGTGTGTGTGGAGCAGGGCTGAGGAGGGCTGCCAGCACACCGTCCCTCAGGCCTCTGGGACTCCACGTGTCATGCACCAGTGAACCCCTGGGAGCGCGTGAGGAACGGGTCTGCAGAGGGGCCACCTTCACAGTGGGGCCCCACCACAGCAGGCTTCCTAGAGACCACCCCCGAGGGCCTGACCGGTGCCAGTGAGGGCGGGGGACAGGGGCTGGTCCACTCACTGCCACCTGCACAGCTTGTCACCTACACAAGTGGACTCCTGCCAATGCAGTCCCAGCTGGGCTCTGTTGGCAGGGGCTCCTCTGGTCCACCTGGGGCATGTCCTTCTGCTGGCTCCTCCAGAGACGGTGTGTGGGACGAGCCCCTAGAGCCAGATGACTGTGGGGACAACACGATCACTCCATGATGGCATCTTACACTGAACTGACTTAAAGAATTAAATCGGCCAGGTCCCGGGGTGAGGGTGAGTCTTCTCTAGTAGCCATCATCGATGGTTGGCCAGCAGGGCCACGGCTGGGGCCAGGAAGGAAGGGCCCCACACAGGCATGCGATGCCACATTCTTGAAGAAGAGCCAAAGAGTGGTTCCGGAAGGACAGTCCTGTGGGGGTCCTGCTTGGAGGCCTTTCTATGGTTTCCTGCATTTACTAAAATGTCAAGGTCACAGGGTGCCAGGGTGGAGCCAGGCAGGTCTGGGGCCCTGGCTGTGGAGGAAGGAGAAGTGCTCTGTGGGCGTCCCCCTGGCTGCAGGTCCCTGGGAACACTTCCAGACACACCCAGCACCCTAAGACTTCTGAGGGAGGGAGGCAGAGGGTAGGGAGAGGCGGCAGCAGGAGGGCCACCCGGGTCACAGCCCGGCCTGGCTCTGCTGTAAGAAGCGCTGAGCCATGGCCCCACCTGGGACTAGGGGGAGCTAGAGTCAAACAGGTGGATCGGCATGACTGGCGAGTAGGCGGCCGTCTCATCCTGTTGGGGTTTGGACTTTTAAAAAGACAATACATTATGGATGAATAGATCTGATGGGACCTGATAAGGCAAAACAGGGAGTTTATTATGACAAGATCAATAGTGTGTGGTTCTATGTGAACGATGACTGCGCTGGGGAGGGCGCGGGCCTGCAGGCTGCAGATGGCTCTGCGGCATCATGGGATGTGCAGCACTTGTGTCCCTGGCTGCAGGAGCAGGAGAACAAGGAAGTGACTTGCAGGTCTAAGACGGCTGCGAGCTCAGCACATCTGGAGCCTGTCGGGTTGGCAAGGTCTGGAAGAGAGCCTGTTAGCACGTGGACCACCATGTTCTGACGGTCTGCGCTGCAAATGGCACAGGAAGCAAGGAGAGTGCGGCTTCCCCAGAGCTCACAGCGCTGGCTTATGGGCTCTAAGTTCCGACCTGAGTTGGTCCTCCCTGAGCGTAGGGAATGGATAGCTTGGTGTAACAGATAAAGATACTGAGGTTCAGGGAGGCTAAGTAACTTGTCCAGGTCACACAGCTGGCCAGAGGCAGAGATGGGAGTGCTTTCTCACATTGCTGACCTGAGGGCCCCGCATGACCCTTGCTGCCACGGAGAAGGGCCAAGCACACCTGAAGCTGTTACTGGAGGTGGAAGGGGTGGCTGCGATGTCGATGTCACTGTGTGCTTAGTTTTATCATGAACTAGTGTCGGGAGCTGCCCTGGATGCAGAGGCCTTTAGGTCCTGAGGCACAGGGTTCTGGACAATGCTTGCCTTCAGTCGGGCCTGGTAGTGCCAGGTCGTGGTAACTTGGGCGTCACCCCAGCTCGGATACCGAGGCGTGGCTCCAGGAAGAGGTGTCACCCGCGGGGGCTGAGCCACACTCACCTGTTCCTTTGTAACCCCACCCCTTTCCCCTTTTGGGGATGGAATGTTCATGGAACCTCCCTTGGGTGTCCCCTATATGATAATAAGGAATTCCGCGGCTCTCTTTCCACCGACCTTGAGATCAGAGAGCTGCCTCTGATTTGAAAAGGTACTTCCGTGTGGTTGCGTGTCTTCCTGGTGGTTTTCTGACGTTGCTGGAGTAGTCAGATGTTGAGAACCAGCATTAGGTCGCCAGCTAGGAGAGATGGCGAAAAACTAGGTTGGAACCACAACGGGATCTGAAGGTTCTAGAAGTGACTTTCATGGCATCCTGCCACGGGGTGTGAGTGGGTCGAGGATGAGGCTGTGTCATGGGCCTGGGTACCCGGCCTGGCACGGCCCTGGAGTGGGCGTTCAGGAGGTGTTACATACAGGTGTGGTCCAGCACCAAGGGAGCACGGCACCCTGAGAAGCTCTTCCTCGTCACCAGCACAAGTCCTGACGGAGCCAGGCCCCGCGTGGTGAGGTGGTGGACCTTTGAGGGTGGGGCCTCGTGGGGGGGCTGAGGTCCCTGGTAGGTAGTGGCCCCAGCCCCTCCCTCTCTCACACCTCCCAGTCTCAGGAGCAGCTTGGCTTCTCCATGAGCCGCTGCCGTGACCTGCGGCCTCCCCCTGGCCCACGGCACCAGGGCCACGCCTCGCAGACCAAAACGTCCCACGGAATCCTTTGTCTCAGTGGATCGTCTTCCGTGTTTGCTGTCGTGGGGAGGCTGACTCAGGGTCACGGTTCTTCCCAACCTCAGAGGCAGCCCCCAGGTGTGGTCCTGGTGACGTGGAGCTTCAAATCTGCCCCGTTCCTGCTCTTCCTACAGCCAGGTCTCTCCTTGCTGAAGGACACCTTCCGAGTCCCCCTGGAGAGGTCTGTGCTGAACACTGCCTCGGTGCTTCCTGCGCTGCTGCAGCCAGGCCCAGGGACGTCCCTCGGGGTGGCGTCTGTCCTGGCCCCCTCGCCAGCCCCGCATCCTGTTCCCAACAGGCAGCATCTGCAGCGCAGTCTGGACCGGCCAGGCCAGAAGGTCCTGGGTGGGTGTGGGTCCCTGCGTCCTTCACCCAGGGCCGCTGCTCTGGTCTGAGGTGTGCGATGGATCTGGATTTGCCGTCGGCCTCTCTGGCTCTTTCTGCTGGGCCTGCTGGAAGGAAGGCCCTGGCTCTGCCTGGATGAGCCATCTGCCTGTGAGGCCGTGTGGCCAGCTTCCTCTCCCACCTGTGGTGTCCTCCTGAGGCTGGGAGGACGTCCCCAGCTCTTGCCAGGAGCTCTCTGTGCCAACTGGGGGCTATAAAATACTGACTTGACATTCGAGCAGCCATCTGATAGGATTTGCTTTCCTGTACTTCCTCTTACCGAACTTCCCCCACCCCTTAGTGACCTGCCCCATGCTACCATAACCCTAAGCCAATCCACGATGACAGGACCCTGGACTCTGGAAAGCCCCATGGTGCCATCGACCTAAGCCAATCCCATGCTATTCCCACGGGCCTAGCTCTGATGCAGGCACCCCCCGCCAATCCCACAGCACCCGGCTCCCACTCCAAACTACTACCCCACCAAAGCTGGACCCCCGAATGCCACAGTCTGGCTGGGCAAAATAACTGGGAGGTGACAAGCAACTTGAAGGTGGAAGCGGAGCTGCTTTATTGCGGAACAACAGCGGTGTAGACACCTAACTGATGACACCCAGCTTGACTCAGTCAGCATCATCCAGATACAGCAGTCGGCCAATAAGGATCCCCACCAACTCAATGGCTCCGTGGCGCTGCCTCACAAACCTCTCCTCCTGGCAAACTGCCAGACGCCATCTGGACTGGATTTGCGGTCCCCAACACCCAAACATCTCGGGGCCTCTCTCCTGTCTAGGGAGATGGCCTTTATGTCAGCTCAGACAAACCCCCGTGTGACTCTCGGCCTGGTCTCCGTCCCTCACCTCTCCCTCGCCCTCTCTTGCCTTCTCACTCTCCTTTCAGGGGCGGGTGGGAGATGGGGGAGGGGGAAGGGGTCTCCGGTGACCGTCCCGCAGGGCTCTGCCTTGGTCTTCCTGCTCAGGGCAGGGCTGGCCCCCTGTGGTTTGCGCCATGCACGCACCTTCCACAGGAAGAAGTTAGATGGTGCCACCAGAGCTCCTGGCCACATCACACCCTCTGGAGAAAGCGCTGTGCGGTGGCGGGGTGCTGCAGTGAGAACCCCCCCGCTAAAGGGTCTTGTGTGTCTCCGTCACCTGGGTCACGCTCTGAGCGCTGGTCTGCTGCATGGCCTTTTTCAAGAAATCCTGCTGTCTCATCGTTTATGATGTGCGCCCTCCTGCCGCCCCGGGGCCGGTCCTCTTCTCCTTTCCTGCTCCTAGGGCCTGTGTCTGGAGGTGCCAGTCACCACCTACCACATGGTTAAAGGGCTGTCCAGAAGGCAATGCTACACGCATGACGTTGGGCCCCCAGTCACTGCGGTCCAGGGTGAACCAAGGTGACCTTCCTGTGCTTCAACCTGATCTCCTCTCTTGACCAGCGCGCCCTTGGCCGCGTCCTCCCTGCCCACCCCACAGCCATGCCTGCTTTCCATGCTCTCAGGCCTGTCTCTGCCCCGACTGACCACTCTCTCGGGGCACCAGCCTCTTCTGTCTGAGGCCTGCCTTCTGCCTAAGCTGCACCCTTTAGGATTTCCGTGCCTAAGGTCCTTGGGGTGCTCCAAGTTGCAAAAATGCCACAGATTCTTCCCCGTCCAAGTCAGTTTCTCCACCCTGTGGAGCTGCTTGGAAGTGTGACAGGAGCGGAGGCTTGTCAGGCAGGTGCTCGGCGTGGCTTGCTCCCCGGTTGTGTACTGCACCCAGAGACCACACTGAGAATGAGCCCTAGCAGGACCCCTGTTGGGGATGAAGTGTTCCAAAGAGGAGAGTTGAGTCCCCAACCATCAGTGTGCCCACCAGCAGGCAGGGAGGGAGGCCGTCCTGGGTCCCCAGCAGCTGACTGAAGGCCAGCTGGCTGCAGATGCAGGAAGGTCTCACCCAGGCACTGCCTGCAGAGTCAGGAGGGGTCACTCCCTGAGCTTCCAGGGGGAATGTTTTGCAACAAAAGCTAATACACATGGCACAGACTTAGTTTCATCTGCCTAAAATAGCTTTGTTTATCTTCATCCTAGAGAGTTCTAGAATTGGCATAAAACTCCAGGCTGAAAGTCCTGAACACTTTGAAGATGCTGCTCAATCACGGTCCCCTCCGTTTGCTGCTGGTGGCCCGTGTTTAGCTGGGTCTCCTCCTGTGAGCCGTCCCTGGTCTCCCCCAGCCCCAGGCCATTTCTGGATGCTTTCAAGTTTTTTTCATTGTCTTTGATTTTTCTCAGTTTCACGATGTCGCACTCGGGGTGAACTTTGTACCCTGACTGGGATTTGGGGACATTTGAGGATCTGGTGACTGCCGTTTCCCCATAATTTGGAAAATTATCAGCTCTTATCTCTCATTGTCTCTTTCCCATGTTTCTCTTGTTCCCTTTTGAAGTCCAAATCTCTGCACAGTGGCCCATGGCAGTCTCTCTGTAGCCCACCCTGGCTCCATGCTTGTGCCCTACGCTGTGCCTCTCGGGACTGTGTTCAGATAACTCTGACCCACACTACACGTCCCTCTCCTACTGTCCATTCTGCTTCTGCTTCATTCCCATTTAGGGGAAGTTTCGTAATTTTTCAAGTCATCTTGTTCCCTGCTAATACATTTAAGCTTCCTTTTGAAGCTTCCCTTGAATTTTTAAAACATATTAAAATTTTAGTGCACACGTCTGATGTTCCAGTGTCTGAAGTCTCACGAGTCCATTCCGCTTCCCTAATCACTGGTGCTATCTCTACGCCAGTGCCGCTGTCTGAGGGTCTCCTTTTCCTAGGAGGAAGCTGGGCTGGAGCTGCGTCCCCCCAGGGAGGACCTGCCCCTCCCTCCTCTCCTGCTCCTCGTTCTTCTCTCGACACCTGAGCCACTCCGGTTTCCCTGAGGTCTTGGGGTCACGCAGCCCGGGTGGGGACCTGCTGTGTGGCCTGATGAGGAGGCAGGGTGCAGGATGACAGGCAGCCTCTCTCTGCCCTCTCTGGGTGCCAGGCTCACCCTCATTCTTCCCCACACCCTCTGCCCAGCCCAGGGAGGGTCCCAGGTGTTCCTGTGGGCAAGGGCTGAGTACAGTCCTCCTTCCCGCGATCTCTTCTGTGATTTTAATGTTTTATGCTTTTTTTTCTGCAGTGGCACATGTAGTTTGCAGCAGAGGAGCTGATGGGAGCCTGGAATCGGGTTCAACCTGGCCACAAGTTCAAGGTTAGACTCTGGAGCCTGCACTCCAGTAGTGACTATTTTGTGGGCAAAAAATCTTCCAATTCTTATTGACGTGTTTCCCCACAGGGCTCCATGCTCCGAGGGCTTCATCCTCGAGGCTCCCGTTCAGCTGATGAGGACGTGGGTTTGGCCGTCTGTGTGGATCTCTCATGTGACAGCTGTTATCTCCAGCAAAGGGCCGCTCTGTGCCTCGTTCCCGGTCTGCAAACATCTCTGGAGCGTCCTAGGTGCTGGACTCTGGCGTGTAGGTGGAGAACCAAGCCTAGGTGACCCCTCCCCTTGGACCTGGTGTGGATTGGGTCATGTGACAGAGGGGAATGGAGGCTGCCCATCAGCTGACCGCCACGTGGGGAGACAGCGTGGGTCGTCCAGGCTGTCCATAGAGTCACGGGTTCTTCCACGTGGAAGAAGGAGGTCAAGAGGGCTCAGAGCCGAGCAGAGGTCTGGCAGACGCTGCATGCCTGGCTCTGAAGACTGAGTGCGGGACCCAGGCCTGGGGATGTGGTGGCCCCTGGGGTGGGAAGAGGCAGGAGATAGGTCCTGACTCAGGAGATAGTCCCCAGGCTCCGCCCTCCAGAAGAAGCTTGGTTCTGGCAGCACTTGGCTCTAGCCCTGGAGATTTCTTCCAGACCTCCGACCCAGAGCTGAGTGTGGGGACCTGTGCTGTTTCAGGCCACCGCATTGGTGGGGTTTGCTGCAGCAGCCACCGGAGGCCACCAGCTGTAGGTGGGCAGCATGATCTGATGCCAGGCCACAGAAGAGAGGGCACCTGTTTTGTCTCTGCCTCCAGGCTGGCCAGCGGGGCCCCGGGTGCCTCTTCCCTCAGTCACTTGAAGGCTCAGGTGCTGGGGACTGAAGCTCAGCTCTGAGCAGCACGTGGACCAGGGGTCCCTCCAAGAGCCTCGGGCCTCCTGGCCCCCCCAGCAGCCCTGGGAGACTCTGTGAGCTGCAGTGTGTTCGCATGCCCCTGCTCACGGACGGGCGTGGGATGGCGCTGGGGCTTCAGAGCCTCCGCGTCGATGGCATTCGATGGCATTCGATGGCATCTCCATGGCAGCACTGGGTTCAGAGCTGCTCTCTTGGGCTTCAGTGTTCTTCTGTTGAGGGCAGGAGCTGCCTGTCCCTGTCCAGGAGAGGGACACTGGTTTAAAGAGGCTTGTGCAGTCCTCCCGGGGCAGGCAGCTGCCTAGGGATGCGGACCAGGTGCCCTGTGAAGCGGAGGGCCAGTGCTGCCCTCAGGGCACCTGCGTCCAGCTGCCTCTCTCCTAGAGGGGAGCCCCTCCCATGCCAAGGTGAGCCCAACCCCAGCTCCTGGGGTGGGCTTGGCAGCTCACCTCTTGGCTTCCTGCTTGGCTCAGCCAGCAACCTCTCATCCCCAAAGTCTGCCACGCACACCCATCTGCTAGCTCCTCCCCCTGGGAAAGGCAGCAGATGATCACCCGTGTGGCATTAACTTTAAAAGTACCTCTGCATAGAGTTCCAATGTCTGTGAGGGGCTCAACCCAGCCAGGGTGCTGGCCCTCGAGAGCTCTGATGTCACCTCTGACTCACTACCCAAACTGACTGGCCTGAGTCCCAGCTCCTGGCAAGGTGGGAAGTTGCTTCTCACGTGAGCTGAGTGGCCTTGGAGGCTCTGCAGCCCCTGGATGTGGCTTGTGCTCCAGGAGCCCAGCACCCCGACTCCACGAGCAGCCCTGGAGCCTGACACCCACAGTGTCAGTGACAGTGACCACTGTCAGCGGTCACTGAACTGATCTCTGGAAGTGAAATTCACAGGCCAGGGGCTGGTCAGAACTCCTGGGGGCAGACAGTAGGGTTATCCCTGGCCACCGGGGTGCTTGGAAATGAATATTTGCACCCTCAGCCAAGCTCTGGTGAAGTCTAACTTCATTGCGCTACTCGCTCCTGATGTGGGGGGACGATGGCCTCCTCCTACCTCTAGCCGGGGGACCTTCAGGTGTGTACCAAAGTCCCTGACTGGCCGACCAGCTTTGGCTGGCTTAGGTCGAATGAAGACAGACTGCATGGAGTGATCGCTGAATCTAAAACTGTACCACAAGTTCTCTGGGAGTCGGAAAGGTACTCAGCTCATAAAAGCACATTTCTAGTTACCACGTGTGCTGTGTTTTCTAATTTAGAAAGTGCCTCATCTCCTTGGTGTTGGTGGAAAACAAATGAGCATGCATGCTGGGGCCTGAGGCTCTCATGGTTCCAGAACAGCTCTGCAGCTGGGGAAATGCGCCCCACAATCCCAGCACAAGGAAAGCTGAGGGGAAGGCGGGACTCAGGTTTTTTGAACTTTAAACTTTGCATCTGCAACTACAAGGGAGATGACTGCAAGCTGTGCTGACCTGTGGTTGGGGAGACGAGGGTGTGGCCCTGCGGGGGCTCCTCCTGGCCCTGCCTGGTCCACTCTGGAGGTATTTGGGTGTAAGTATTCTGACTGCTCCCTGAGGTCACGGGTGTCCACAGATAACTTTTTTAAAAGCCAAAAATCATATATTTCCATAAGATTATAAAATAAACATACTTCGTGGTTTTTATTTACCCCATTAGTTAATGAGGATATGAAAACCAGTTCCTGCGAGAACCGGAGGCCAGCTGCCACAGGAGGGCAGGGGGGAGGGCAGCCGCCAGCAGGAGGGCAGGAAGGAGGGCAGCCACCAGCAGGAGGGCAGGAGGGAGGGCAGCAGCCACCAGGGGCTGGGGTCTCACTGGAAACCCACACCTAGCGGAGCTGCTGGGACAGGTCGCAGCCAGGAACGTGCCTCCACTGCCCGCCCCCCCCCCCCCCCCCCCCCCCCGGGGGGGGGGGGTTAATGTTTAATGTGTGTGGAGGGCTAGGCCCCGGCTGTGACTGATGTGTAACGTGAGAAGTCTCATCTCCAGGGTCTAAACTGCACAGG